TATTCAAGAATTGCCTATGTTAAGTGTTAGTAGAAATCATTTGAATTGGGAGAGATTTCTGATAATAGTTAGGAAAAAGTGGTTTAGTTCAGATTTAATGAGGGCAATTACTGTTACTACCTTGTTTTCAGTGTTCACCCTAACCTGTTTTAACAATAAATAACTGCTTGTTTATTGAGTCTTAGGGACTGGGAATAATCTCAGGAAAAATCTCCACTATCTTCTAGAGAGGGGAAGTATTTTCTAATGGGAAAATTGGATGAAAAAAATTACATTTAAATACTTTTTTTATATCTGCAGTATTTGTTAGAAGCCAAAATAGTTTCTGAAAATTCCTTTATTTAAATTTGATTATTTTGGTTACAGATTTAATATATGCTCTTTGAAATAAAATTTAGACAGTGAAGAATAAAAAAATAAAAGTAGTCTACTTTGAATTTATTTCCTAATTCTTGCCTCTTCTCGGAAAAGATGTCTATTTTTTTTATATGCCTCTTTCCAGACCTTTTCTACATATATGCAGGTGTAGATTTTTTTTTTTTAAATAAATGGCGTATGTTTGGGACATTATGTTTCTACACAATGTTTTATGTTTTTTTAAACTTCTCATTGCGTTACTGTATAAGGATTTACTTCTTTATTTATTTTTAGTAGATGAAATATTCCCAAGGATGGATATGGTATAATTTATTTAACTGTTTCCCTGTAGGTTAATATTTAGATTATTTCCAATATTTTGTTATAGTTTATTTGCATTCAACAAATGTTTATCGACTGCCAGGCAGTGCTTGTGAACAAAATGCAAAAATTCCTGTGTTCGTGTAGTTGCCTGCTTTTGGAGGTAGACAGACAGTAAAGGAATAATAAAAAAAAATGCATGTCAGTTGCTATTGAGGGATGTAAGATGGGGAAGGAGATAGCAGTGAGGGGAGGAGTGTGCATTTTAAAATGAGGTGGTCAGGAGAGATTCAGTAATGGGTGATATTTGAGCAGTGATCTGGTGAAGGTGACATCATGAGCTCTATTTATTGTTAGGGAGACAGAATGAGAGCATTCTAGGAAGAAAATGAGTACAGAGGGAGGTTAGGTGCATGCCTGATGTGATGGAGGGAGAGCAATGAAGCTGTTGTGGCTGGAGTGAAATGAGCAAGAGGAGAGTGGGAGGTTGAAGTCACAGAAGGTGATGGGGAGTCAGGGCAGATTATGTTGGGCTTTGGAGATCACTGGAAGGATTTTGTCTTTTACTCGAGTGAGGTGGTGTGCCTTTGGAGGGTTCTGAGCAGAGGCATGGCATAGTCTAGTTTACATTTTGAATGGTCTCTCTACTTCTTGATAATAGACTCCCTGGACAGAAGCAAGGAGGCTATTTGGGAAGATACTGCAACAATCCAGGCCTGATATGATGGCGGTTTGCACCAGCATAATGACAGTGGAGGTGGTAGGACAGGGTTAGATTTTTGATAGGTATTAAAGATGAGGTGAAAGAATAGTTAGGGATCGCTCTGAAACTTTTGGTCTGAACAATTAGAAAGTTAGAATAGCTATGAAATGAGATGAGGAAGACTGCAGTAGGCAAGGTTAGAATTTTGTTTTGGGGCAGGTTACATTTCAGAGTTTATTAGACATCCAACCAGAGGTATTGAGTAAACAGCTGGAAACATAAATATGAAGTTAAGTGGAAAGGTCAGGACTGGAGAAACAAACCTGAGTCATCAGTTTATGAAATTTAAAACCTTGAACTCACCTAAGAGTAGATGGAATAGAGAAGAAAAGAAAGTCAAGGACATCCCTTGGGCACTTCAAGGTTAAGGGGCTGAGGATGTGAGAAGGATGCATCAGAGACCAAGAAAGCAGTCAGTGAGGAAGAAGAGAACCACGAAATGTGATGTCCTGAAAACCAAGAGAAGGGGCTCAATGATGTCATATAATGAGAACAGAATTGTCCATTGAAATTAACAATGTGGCACTGTGGGCTGCCTTGATAAGAGCAATTTTGAATGAAAAGTAGGAGGTCTACTCTCACGTAGTTGCCTGCTTTGGGAGGTAGACAGACAATAAATGAATTTAAAAAATATTTAAGTTCCTATTGGGGAATGTAAGAAGGGGAAGGAGATAGGCAGTCAGGGGAGGAGTGGACACTTTAAAATGGGGTGGTCAGGAGAGATCCAACAATTGGCTGACATTGGAGCAGAGATCTGGTGAAGCATCGTGAGCTCTAAATCTGTTGGTAGAGGAGAGGAAGAGAGCATTGGTTATAGGAGCATTGATAGAGAATGGAAGAAGGGGAATTAGAGACTATTAGTATAGCATCTCTTTTGAGAAGTTTGTTCTAAAAGACTTCAGCTGGAGGGAGATAGGAAGTCAGGATGTTTCTTTTGTTTCTTGTCTCAGACGGAAAAATAAAATACTTTAAGCTTATAAGAAATGATGCAGTAGAGGGAAAATTTGGTGCAGGAGAAAATGGGAAATTCAGAGACAGCTTGGAGGAATCTATTTTAATAAATCGATATGCATGTGTACAAGGACTTCTGTAGGCTAAATTATGAAAAGGAGGCCCTGAGTCTAAGGGTTTGTGCATTTTAAAAACCTGTACTGATTTATATTCCACCTTCAGTGTTTACCTTTGCTAACATGGAACATTCTTAATCTTTAAAATTATTGCCAATCTCATTGTAATGTTATCTTCAATATTTTAATTTGTTTTAGTGCTTTCTAGGAAATCTTTCTAATCCTTTGTTGTGTTTTGGCAAATATTTTCTCCTGGTTGTCTCTTGCCTTTTAACTTTGCTTATGGTATCCTTTTACCATATAGACTTAAAAAAAAAAAAGCTTTTATGTAGTTAAGTCTGCCCGCCATTTCCTTTTATAGCATTTGGGTTTCATTTGAGCAATATAAATATTTTATATAATCTAATTATTTATATTTTTAATTCATCTGGAGTTTATTTTTGTGTTTGCTGTGAAATGGGTATCTAAGTTTTTCATGTTTCTTTGTATTGTTTCTTGAAGTTTGGAAGAAATTACCTATGAAATCTTCTAGGCCTAAAGTTGTTTTTGGAGGGTAGGTCTTTGACTACTTTGTCATTTTTTTTTTCTAGTGGTTCATTATCTATGTGGTTTATGTGCTTCTTTTTGGTTTTGGTAATTGATGTCTTCCTTGAACATTATTTTTTTTATCCACATTTTCTAATTTGTTGGTTTAAAATGTAAAATTCTACATAAAGGAAATGCTAAGCCTTTTTTAAATATAAGAAGTCTTTAAATGTGTCTTCTGTATATTTGCGGTATATTCCTATACTTACATCTTCATCCAGACAATACATGCTGAAACTATCCTTTCACAGATCTGGAGAGCTGTTTAGCTGTTTTCAGCCCTTGTGGCCTTTGATCTTGGGGTTATTCCTAGATTCTCATTCTCTTTTGTTTGTAAGATTTCTTGCCTCTGTTTCCTGTTAGTCTGTTCCCACTTGTTCTTTATATTTCAGAAGTTTTACTGTTGAAGTCTACGGGTGGATATGTGCTTTTCTTGGTTTCTAATGTTTTTATTTTCATATTTATATTTCTTCTGTCATATTATGGCAGGATTTTGGGGAGAGTGAGAGGCAAACACATTTTCACATAATCTTTTGAAATAGGAAGTTACAATTCTTTCCTGTAGTTTTCTTTTATCATAGTTCTTTGTTTATTGCTGATTGTACAGTAGTTGGATAGTAACTTTACAGCTCAAGTAGTGATAGTCAGATGGACTTCTCCTTTTTTCTTTTAAATGAAACCAGATGTCTAGTGGAAAGTACTTATTGAGAATAAATATTGATATATTGCAGCTAAAAATTCAAATAACACTTTTAAAACTTAAAAGACATAGTCATAACATTTGGAACTATAGGGGACTTTACAGATCATTAGACCAGCTGCCTTATTTTATAGATGAAAAATTTGAGGCACAGAAAAATTCAGTGAAATAGCTAAGGCAACAAAGTTAGTGATCAAGTAAGATGGAAAGCCATGTTCTTGCTCATATACACATTCTTGCTTTTCTCCTTAGCTATGTAATAAAGGAGGCATTTCTGTTAATAAAGTTTTTTTCTAACTTAAAGTTGTTACATATATCTTGGAATTGCTTCTGAAATTGGGTCTTAGATACTTTATTTAATACATTAATATATATATTTTTTTCACATAGATATTATGATACAAATGTGAATTTTAAAAGTATGGGCTATCAAGGTATGGTCTAGCCTAAATGAAATGGTTTATTTCCCCAAAGTTTCCTCTTTTATACTTATAGGTTTTATGAGATTAATGGGCTCTTTGGATTTCTGTTACTATTTTAAAGAAGATTAGGGAATCTATCTATCTATCTATAGGCTTGAAAAATGATTTTAGTGATAAATAATTAAGGTATTTCAGGTAATAATTAAGATATCTAATTTTTTTAGTTTAATATAACATGCTGCTAGATCAACACCTAAATTTAGAAGGGCTAAAATATATAAGCTTTAAGAAAAAAGTACTTTGCTTATCATTTCTTCAGCAAGCATTAGGGGATGTATTTATCAAACTTACATTGCTTTGCTTGGTCTTTACTTTTTTGTTTTTTGAGACAGGGTGTCACTCTGTTGCTCAGGCTGGTCTTGAATTCCTGGGCTCAAGTGATTCTCCTGCTTTGGCCTCCCAAAGTGCTGGGATTACAGGCATGAGAGCTACTGTGCCTGGCCTGCTTTGCTTGGTCTTTAACTTCAGCAGAAAGTTTTAAAATGTAGGATTTTGATTATTGATATCTTTTTTTTTTTTAAGAAAGAAAAGTTTATTTAAAAGTAAATTAGAGAGAGAGAGAGAAAGGAGAGAGAAGATTCACCTCCCCAAGGTGAGGGGATTATTGATATCTTATGTCTGGTAACCATGGTTTTAGTTCTTTATAAGTGATGAGGGTTGTGTGTGTAGTATTAGTGGACTTAGGTGGGTTCTTCTCCCTACCCCAGAAACGTAAGAGGGAAAGTTAGAGTGTAGTGCTCTAGAATGATATTCTAAGATTTGTTTATCTTTAGCTTTTAACTGTTTGAGTGCTTTTGAAATGTATGATATGACCTATTTAAAAAAAATTTTTTTTATGAACTCGAGAACAAACTCTGTGTCCAATATGAATTCTAAAAATTTAATTTTTTTCCAGCTGGTCATAATGGCAGGGGAAGAAATTAATGAAGACTATCCAGTAGAAATTCATGAGTATTTATCAACATTTGAGAATTCCATTGGTGCTGTGGATGAGATGTTGAAGACCATGATGTCTGTTTCTAGAAATGAGTTGCTGCAGAAGGTATTTTAAGATATTATTTCTAAAAATGAATTTTATAAAAGAGTGCTGTTTTGTGAAACATATGGAAGAAGAAATAGATTAAGAGTATATACCCCTTTCCTTTTGTATTTCAATTTTGTTAGTGTTTGAGTATTTTTAGGGTAAAAAAAACAAAACCAAGCTCCAGCCTTAGGAAGTACCTTCTGATTATATTTTTATTTTAACTTGGTTTTGAAAAAAAAGGAGCACTCACAGTATTCTCTTTGACAGATTCTGTCTTTGACCTTTTAAGCATTACAATGATGTTATCAGGGTTTCTGGAAACCCTATAGGACAAAAACAGTAAATTGACTTTGACAGTCTAAAACAAATCTCATTATATTTCTTCTGTCTTTGGTATTGCCTAAGCATTTTAGCCTGCTTCTTATACATAAATGCATCATGTACAGTGTTTATATTGATAAATTACTTTTGACATACAAAGCCCAGATTGTAACTCCTGAAATTAAAATAATTCAAAAGAATTTTTCTTGGATTATACACATTCCTTGTCTAACTAAAGATGATAGCCTGAAGTGAAAATTTGTGGGCAAAACCTGATGGTTAAGAAAACTTCTTCTTTTTGCAAATTATTTCCAGATCATTTGATTATTGGATTGTAGGAAGTGAAAAAAAATTCTTTGATATATTATGCTTGGTAAAAGTTTAAAATGTTATCGGATGGTGTTCAGAATTTGTGTGTGTTTCTTTTTCTCTCTCTCCTTTCCTCTCTCCTTTTTCTTTTTAATAGTTGGACCCACTTGAGCAAGCGAAAGTGGACTTGGTTTCTGCATACACATTAAATTCAATGTTTTGGGGTATGTATATATTTTTGGAATTAATTAGAAAACAAATTACTTATTATGTTAAAGGTAACTGATTTCTTTTTAAAATGCTAACAATTTATATAAAATTACACTTTATGGACATTTTAATAGTCAAGTATTTTTTTTCTTTAAATGAGAATACTGACCGTCCATAAACCACATATACATTTAATATTAGTAGGGGTTGAATAATTCAAAATTTAATTAATCATTCGTGTGACTTTTCTTTTTTGTGACTAACTACAGCTTCTTTGGTTGAAATGCTCTTAATTAATATATATATTATTTTATCCATGAAATCTTTTCCTTGTAGTTTATTTGGCAACTCAAGGAGTTAATCCTAAGGAACATCCAGTGAAGCAGGAGCTGGTAAGATTTCAGTTCATTCCTTTTAGTTCTCCATGCCTACTTGTTATCGTATCCCTGAAGTTTAGCTCAAACTACCTTTATCACACTAATTATGTATAACATAATTAGGGTTGAAATTAGGGAAGAAAGCCAGATCTTATCATCTTCGGTTTTTCTTTCTCTCACCTTTGTCAGAGAATTGGTATTTCATATATAAATCTTTGGATGGGAAAATGTTACAATTCTAGTAATTATTTATAACTTGCGTATTATTTTCCCTATAAATTCTTAAAATATTGTTCATCTCTAGGACTGTTTCTCTTTTTATTTTAACTCTTACACAATTCTTAAAAGTATATTCTAGTTGATTTACTAGCAAAGACGGGAAAGTTTCTCCCCCCACCTTTTCAATTCCTCCATTAATTCATTTTCTCAGCAGTAAAGAATTCAGTTCAGCAACAAAGCTAAAAGCTTTTTTGGCACCAGTGGTATGTGTACTGTCCAGTAATTCTGCATTAGTGACATATTTACAGCCTATAATAAATCTTCTAGGTTTGTCTTTGTATTCCATTTAGGTATATAAGTACAGTATATAAGGCCTGGTATCTTGGAGTTTTTGCTGACTTCAAAAATTAAATCAAATCATTCAATTTGAAGGGAAAAATTAGAAATCAAACTTAAGGTTACCTTCTTGACTTGGCATTATGAATAAGAAATTAAAACATTTATTCTTTGTGTTTATAAAATATAAGGCAAGTTTATATGTGAAATACACTTGACATTATTCTCAAGTCTTATGGTAGTTGATATGTATGTTATTTATAACTTAGTAAAGCATATGGTCATTTATTTTTAAAAAATGAGTAAGTCAGATCTCTTGTCTTTATTTTTTTAACATGTGGTCTAAGACATTTTCTGTTTTTAAAGTTATTGGGGAAAATACATTTATTTTTAAATACAGCAATTGTGAAAAATATTTAAAGCAAAAGTATAAAGCAATATGATAATGCAGATCTTCATTCAACCAGTGCTACTGGCTTTAAACCTTAATAAGTGTGGCCTGGATCATCTGTTTTCTGCTTCTACTATGGGTTTTACAGTAATAAAATTCTTCTTTCCTTTAACACAAAATTATTTGGAGTACATGATACTATCTTTATGAAAGGATTAAGATCATTTGTCTTTTTTCTCCCTCAGAACCCACTTTATGGAGGAGTATGTTAAAATTCTAAACAAGGGTTGGCAAATAAGGAGCAAACATAAACCCACTCCCTTTTTCTGACCTTGTGACAGACATTACTAATTGATCTCTGAGTTACTGTATGATAGGAAACCTATTTACCATATACATCACAATTGACGAAAGACGTTGAAAATAGTCAATTTATTCTCTCGACAAATATTCAAGTGCCTCCTGGAAGCCAGGTATTATTTCCAAGTGAGATGATTCCTCAGTGAATAAAGCTGGTTCCTACCTTTGTGGTAGACACCAGACTGTATCTAACGGGGGGAGACAAACAGTAAGCATAATAAACAAATAGATAATACACATATATGAATATGTAGTATTTTAAAAAGTTATGTGTTATGGGAAAAAAGAAAAAAAAATCAGGATTAAGGGGGACTAGGGTGGTTAGATGGGCTTGCAGTTTTGAATGGTGAAGTTAGAGCCTCACTGACAAGGTGAACATTTGAGTAGATTGGAAGGAAGAGAGGGATAATTGAGGAAAGATCATTTTAGGCAAAGGAATAAGCAGAGCAAAGCCCTGAGACAGGGCTAAGCTGGGTGTGTACTGCAGCTGGTATCCACTGTTGTCAGGATTATGGCTTTTACTCTGGCAGAAATAGGGAGCCATTAGCGAGTATTGGGCAGAGTTTTTGGTCTTTCACAATGAAAACAATCTAAGATTCTGTATTTTTCGTGTATTTATGTAACTATTTTGATTATTATTATTATTATTTTGAGTTGGAGTCTCACTCTGTCACCCAGACTGGAGTGCAGTGGCCACTGCAGCCTCCACCTGCTGGGCTCCAGGGATCCTTCTGCTTCAGCATTCCAAGTAGCGGGAACTACAGGCGCACACTACCACGCCTGGCTAATTTTTGATTTATTGTAGAGATGAGGTCTCGTCAAGTTGCCCAAGCGGGTCTCAAACCTGCGAGCTCAGGCAATCCACTCACCTCGGCCTCCCAAAGTGCTGGGATTACAGGCTGAGCCACCGAGCCCGGCCTATTTTGATTATTTTAATGAAATTTGCTTTTAAGCAGCGATCAATCATTTACTGTGCTATCTTATGTCTGTCATCAACTTTATTTCTCCATTTGAAGTATAGGATAGCCATTTATGCTGATTAATGGTTTCAGAAGATTCAAAGTGGTATGGCAACATAGTACGTTTCTCACCCTGTAAAGTCTGATTATAACTGTATATTTTATTGGAAAATTTTATGGATTTATCAATCAAAATTATGAAATTGAATAAAAAAATTAAATTTTCATTTTGTCTATTTTAATTGTGACTAGACAGTAACATAAAAAGGTAAAGAGTTAGGCACTACCTCATCTATTTCCTGTTTAGAAACATTTCAGGATAATTTAGTTGTGTTGCAAGTGTCTGAAGCTCAAATTTTAGATTTTAGACTTCAGATACATAACAGTTAATATGTAGATTTAAGACCTGCCACGGTGGCTCATGCCTGTATTCCTAATACTTTGGGAGGCCGAGGTGGGAGAATCACTGGAGCCTAGAAGTTTGAGACCAACCTGGACAGCATAGCGAAACCTCATCTCTACAAAAAAAAAAAAAATAGAAAAATTAGCTGGGCATTGTAGCATGCACCTGTAGTCCCAGCTACTCGGGAGGCTGAGGAGGGCGTATTGCTTGAGCCCAGGAGGTCAAGGCTATAGTGAACCAGATCATACCAATGCAATTTAGTCTGGGTTACAAAGTGAGATCCTATCTTGAAGAGGAAAAAAAAAATAGATTTAGATTAGTAGTAATTTAAAAAAATGTATAACCGTATAGAAACAATTCAGTGGTTATCTCTATATAGTGAGGTCTTAGTATGAGTCTTCCTCTTTGGAAACACTTAGAGCATTTCGGAAATGAATTTTTAATGTCTGTCTTACCCCCTAGACTGTGAACTCCAGGAAAGCAGGGAGCATTTTTATCCTATTCACGTGTATTAACTTAGCACAATGCACTTTATAGGCAGTAAATACATATCTGTTGCATTTAAGCAAGGATATTATAATAAAACTTAGTGGTAGCAGACATGTTAGTAAATCTATTGTTTGTCTTTTTTATCTTTAAGGAGAGAATCAGAGTATATATGAACAGAGTCAAGGAAATAACAGACAAGAAAAAGGCTGGCAAGCTGGACAGAGGTGCAGCTTCAAGATTTGTAAAAAATGCCCTTTGGGAACCAAGACCTAAAAACGCATCAAAAGTTGCCAATAAAGGAAAAAGTAAAAACTAACTTTTTGGTTCTGATGTACATATATTAGAAAAGTTTATCTTCTTTTTATGTGTTTTCACAAAATAGATAATTATGTGGCAATGCAAGGTTTAAATGTATTCCTTATTGAATTCATGTGCAAATTTACAGTTTAAATTTGTAATGTTAGACACTTTTTTCCTTCAGAAAAATGAAGTTATCTGTATTGATTTTCCTATAGAGGACTATGAGATTTTAAACATTATGATATATTTTATATTTATAGCTTACTGTCTCTTTTGATGAGACTTCCTTTATAGATCAGTTTTACAAATGCCATTTTATAAGTAATTGTGAAATATAAGTTAAATGCTTTTTGTAAACATTTGTACTATTTTGAATGAATAATGACCTTATGAAGGATGCTATCTGTAGGCTAAAGTTTTAAGTGCATCTGTTTTCACTATATGATATTAAGAAAGAATGAAATGACTTAAACGTCCAATTTTTTTTTGTGTGTGTGTGTGGTTATCATGTTTTCATGATTTTCGGAATTACTGCTTTTTTGGTATTCAAAGTGTGAAATTAAAACTTTACAGTTGTACTTTAATTCTTGGCAGGTTGCCTCTCTGTCCCACTTAAAATAAAATACATTCTCATTAACTTTAGAGGAAGTAAGGTTGTATGTTGAAGATGAATTTTGGCATACTCTCAATAAAGGCTGTAAGTGTTATGTAGCTGATCTGTGTATTTTTATCTTTTAAGTAAATTTGCCTTCCAAATTAGGAAGATAGGTTTTAGAAGTCATCACAAATAGAGAAATTTATGAGTTTTTGTTTCTGATGAATAGTGTCTACAGTACTTTTTGTCTTTTTCAGATTTTTAAAATTACATGTTTTTAAGGCTGTATCAAGTACGTACAAGTGTTTTGGAACAACTTCTTATGTTACATAATGTCACTTAAGCAGAGGAGAAATCCAAAGGAGATTACATTGTGTTTACGCTCTGATTTATTTTTCTGGAATATTTGTTACAAAGACTTCTACCTATTAACCTTTAAAAAATGTCTAAGCCCATGAATTTTAATTATATGCCCTTAATGCTTTCAGTGTTGAATCCACATCATTATATATAGGAATGCCAAGTATAGTAAAGTACTTTAATTTTTGAAACAGGAGTTGTTAAAATTTTCCGTGTGATTAATTTTCCATAAGTAACCCTGAATAAGTGGATTTCTTGATTTATGATAGCAGATATTGGAAATGATCTTAAAATGTAATGGATTTTATAAAGCATGTTGAACTCTTCCTATGACACATGAAGAGAAGTCACTGGTAGATATAGGAATTCTTTTCTAGCTTTGATGTCAGATAGTTTTTGAAGTAGAAGAACATTTATGAACATTTACAGTTATTTCACTCCTTTTCCCACCTTTATCCTAAAATTTCTAGCTATTTTTAAAAGTAACTTCTTCATGAGAGAAGTGTTGTTATTTAATAAGACCTAGTGTACATGTCTTTGCATTATTTATTGCAAAGAAACATAACTTGCATTTCTGTATGTTTTCTAATTTCTTAAAGAAAAAAACTTAAATTAAAAATGTTATACAGTTGCAGAAAATCATTAGCCAGATTGTTGGTTTATGAAAGCCCAACTCTACATTCTATTAAATTGGAGATTCTTAAGTGAATAATTCTTTCAGTGGTTATTAGTAGAAATAAAAATTTTTTTGCATATATTCCATTTTATTATGTATAATCTTAAATATTTATTACTTAGCACATAATAAAAAGCTGAATGGTAGTAGAGCATTGGGTTGCTTATTTGTTTGTTGTTTACTTATTCATTCCACAAATACACTTATTGACATTTACATTGCCAGAATTGGTACTAGGCACTAGGTTCCAGGTTCCAAAGACAATTTCAGCCTTTATCCTATTTTTATAAATTGTTATGAAAAAAGTAGTCTTTTCATTCAATTCAGTTTTTCAGAGTTACTGGGAAATTTATGACAAATTGTGCTCATTAACCTTGGTCAGAACCATAAAGGGTGATATGGTTGATCTATTTGACTATGGTGCAGTCATTGTTAACATAGTTTGTTCCAAATGACAGTCTTCTCGAAGTTTAGATGTTAATTACATCTCTTATTAATCTCTTTGGGAATTAGCAAATTGGAAAGGTTGCAGCTACACATATTTTTAAGATTAGAATTATAGTCTATTAATCTAATACTAAATAATGAGAACTTGTCTTTTAATATTATTTTAAGTACACTTTTTTTTCTTGTTCATAGTTGTAGGCTGGGAATTCATTTAAGTAAAATAGAATATGTTAAGAGAAAAATTGAAGCTTGAATTATGGTTTACATTCCTGGAATTACTAGGTTATTTCAAGTTGATTAGTTTTTGAGATACCCTGCCGATTAAAAAAATTCTTCTTAGTTATTAGAAATGAATGGGTATTATTTCTAAATAAGACTTTAAAATTGACTAGAAATGTAGGAAATGCTTAAAAAATGAGAAAAAGATACTTTAGGAATCACTCAATTTATGATAATTGAATTATGGTTTTATGCAATAAATATCAGAAATTCTGGCTTTATAAAGTGACATTAACCGAGAAAGATTTGAACAGTGATTCTGAGTCTCATGTAATAGCTAAGTTTGGTGTATAAAGGAAAGAAAAAGAAACACTGATGTCTCATCTCCCTTCATAGCTTAGTTAACCAATTTGCCCAGATAAATTCAGTGGCTCTTTTACCAAATGATCTTGGTAGTAACCTGTTTTATGTAAGTTGATATGAATATACTTTACAAATACAAACAATCATATTCTGATCTAAAAGTCTTTAGTTTTGGAAATACAAGACATATTTTGTTTATTTTTAATATATTCACATTTTATAGTTGTCATTAACAGTTATGTTGGGGAAAGTATATAGGACTTTAGAATAGAATTCTGTAGAATTGTTCCACTTGATTAATTTGCTATTATATTACTTGTTAGCAGGATTTCAAGGAAGCTCTTTGAAGGTTTTGGTTTGCAGATTGTTTTCCTATCAAAGTTAGCTAACAGCCATAGACTACACTTTAGAAGAGCCACCCTCTGACTTGCTGTGCCTTGTTAAAGTGCTTATTTTATGGCATAATTTTTTTTAAACACAGACAGAAAGATTAGTAAAGCTGGCCAGAAAAGGAGTAGCTCTAGTTGATAGCTATTGGCAATTGAGGTTTAATTCTTAGCTCTATGCCCCCTCCTACCCCTTGAATCCTAGCTGAAAATTCAAACCAACCAGCTCTGTATTACTTATCTGTTGAAAGAAGATGCTAGTTTTACTCTCCCACCCCCAATAAACCTTGAAGTTTAGCAAATCTATCATAATAGAGTAACTGCATACAAGATGTCATTTTTGTAAAGTGCTATATTTCAGACAGTATACACAATTTGATGGTGGAAAAATACGCTTTGATAAATGAAACATTTAAGAGACTCTTTTTTTTTATTATTTGCTTTTCAGTTTAGTGTTGCCTATAAGGTGTACCATTTCAGTTTGGCAGCTACAATAAATGACTGAAGGAAATTGAAGTTGATAATTCAACATTTCAAGATGCTTCTGCTGAAATGAATATAGACCTATCCAGGGCCTGAATTTATAGTAATACAATTATTTTAAAGCCAAGTACCCAGGAAATTCATGGTGATATGATTTGAATGAGATGATTAGGAGAAATAGAAAAGAGTGCCTTCAATTTCTTATTATGTGGGTATTATCAATTGAGATGCTATGTTGAAAAATATTGTAAAAAGAACAGCAGCTTATTATATACAATCTGCTATAGAGTACAATTCATCTTGGACCTTATCCAAAAAGGTTTAGTTATTAAAATAACAAAAAATTGTTGTAACAAGGAATCACCTCCAGTTTAGTGCTGGAGTAATGGATTGCCCATAGACAATGTTGTAATGTATCTGGTTGGTATAGTTTTATTTGGTGACCTTTGATCTTGCTAATAAGGTTTTCCTTGACTTATTTAAACAGAAATCATTTACTACCCTAGTTCTGATCTCTCTTCTTTATTATTTTTCCCTTAAGAAATAATTCATTATTTAAAATTAGCTGGTTTTTAGGAGTTTTGACATTTGTGACTTTCAACATTTGTGTGTTACTATTTGTGAATGACTTTTAGAGGTCCATGGAGTGTATAGTATTTTGCAATTTTGCCAAGGCACACTCTTTAATTCCTGCTAAATTCCATGTAGGAAGGCATTACTCAGCTATGATTTAGTTTAAGCTCACCTCTCAGCATCCACAGTTTTTCTCCTGACTTGCAGTCTCATTCATTCATTCATTTAACAAATATTTATTGAACTCCTGTGTGCCAGGTTCTGTTTTAGGCATGGGAGATTCAGCAGTTATCCAAACATGATTGTAGAGATTGGGAGTGGTCATACTTTTTTATCATGTGAAAAATGACTGCTGTGGATTCAATTGGGTTATATATTAAATCCTAAATTTAATATATAAAGTCCTAAGCCTCAACCCCTCATAATGTAGCCTTATTTAGAAATAGGGTCATTGTAGATGTAATTAATAAGAATAAGATCATTAGGGTTGGTCCTAATCCAGTGTGATAGGTGTCCTTATTAAAAAGAACAACATATGCACACAGGGAGACTACTCCATGAAGATGGAGGTGAAGATTGGGATGATGCTTCTGTAAACCAAGGAATAGCAAAGATTGCCAGCAAACTACCAGCAGCTAGGTCCGGAGCAGATTCTCATAGCCCTCAGAAGGAACCAGCTCTGCTGACACTACTTTTGGATTTCTAGACTTCAGAACTGTGAGACAGCACATTTCTGTTGTGTAAGCCACCCAGGTTATGGTACTTTTTTTATTACCATTTTTTATAAGTTAGGTTGTGGTACTTTGTTAGCTCTGGCAAACCTATATAGTGGCTGTTAGATGAGCAGAAGCTATTAAGATGAATAAGTTGAGTGTGAAACTATGTGTAAAAATCTTTGACACAAGATAAAAATGTACTTCTGAAGAAAACTAGGAACCTGTATAAACTTAGGAATACTTTTGAATTTGGGCAGAGGTCTTGGTACTTATACCTTGAAATGTCAACACAGCTTTCTGTCTCTCTTTTTCTTTTTCTTTTTTTTTTTTGAGTTGGAGTCTCACTCTATCGCCCAGACTGGAGTGCAGTGGCCGCTCCCGGCCACCTCAGCCTCGACCTGCTGGGCTCCGGCGATCCTTCTGCCTCAACCTTCCAAGTAGCTGGAACTACAGGTGCGCGCTACCACGTCCGGCTAATTTTTGATTTATTGTAGAGATGAGGTCTCGCCAGGTTGCCCAGGTGGGTCTCGAACCTGCGGGCTCAGGCAGTCCACTCACCTCAGCCTCCCAAAGGTGTGGGATCACAGGCTGAACCACCGAGCCCGTGTTACACTCTTTCTAAGCCAAAACGTTCAGACCTTTCTAACAAATACTGTCAATTATGATCTCGTGTACCATCTTAAAAAAAATTTTTTTTTTGAAAATTTTAATCACTTTTGGAGGTCTATAGTTTTTGGTCTTGGCTTTAAAGTTACCCATTGCTCCTACGTGTGCACATTGTACCTGAGAGATGATTTTTTTTTTTTAGCCTCCACCCCTTCTCCCCTTCGCTTTCTGAGTCTTCAGTGTCCACCATACCATTCTCTATGTTCTTGCATACCTTTAGTTTGGCTCCCATTTATAAGTGAGAACATGTGGTGTTTGGTTTTCTGTTCCTGAGTTAGCTCATTTAGGATGATCTTCAGTTTCATCCAAGTTGCTGCAAAATAGCGTGCCATCTTTTAAACTTTTTTATCTTGGTTTGCAGCAATTCGTTTAAAGAAGACCCTGTCAGGTTTTCACAGGGAGAAGATTTTCACCAAGCCTATTATGATCATGTGCCATGTGGTCTTTTCCTGCAGCAGTCAGGTTCAAATATCGAAAATAAGTGACATTGCTTTGTTAAACTCTGGTGTGTCCACGTGGCTCCTTGAGCTGTGGCTGCCATGTTTCTTGGCTTTGTTTCTCTCCTACCTTGGGAAGGTGAATCTTCTCTCTCTCCCCCCCGCCGCTGTCTCTCTCATTTACTTTCTAAATAAACTTATTTTCTAACCTAAAAAAATACTGAAAATTTTTTTACAAGTTCTGTATAATTTGTGCTCTTAGATGAGCACACGCCACTTAAAAAAATCCCATATTCATTCAAACAGATTAGTTTGAAAGTGTGTGTGTTTTTAAAATTCCTTACAGTGTGGTATTCAGTTTTCTTTCTTTAATGTTAGGTATTAGGGAACTCAGAAGTGGGTTCTTACTCTTAATAATTTGGGACCCATTTAATTTTTCTTAATATGGTAAATACTGTTTATTGGTTTTTAGCTTTTAGAATCAATTGGTACATAAAACATGAAAGACAAGAATATAAATAAAATTGACTGTGGCAATGTAAAAGTAAAGGTGTCATAGAAATGAGTTGGAAATAGGGCCTAGTGTAAAGGGTATCCTTATGTGTTGGGAAACACAGGTGCTGTACAAAACTAATGGATGAATGTGGTTTTAAGTTATTTAAGTGGCAAAGGTAATAGTGATATTCATTTTAAATTCTTCCATCAAAGATTGGAAGGTGTTGGAGAGTGGTAGTATAAATTAAATCCTAATTTTTCAGGCTGGCTAGTTAGAAGATGGTGTCAAATGATATGGCAATGAAAGTAATCACCAGAACTAAAGACAGAAATGGTTTAAAAATGAGAGTCCCTCACACCA